TTCACACCAGCTCACTGTTACAGTGAGGAGAGAAACAGTGTCATCAGTTTAATTAAACAGTAACGGTTTCCATGGGTTTGAATACTCAGATATTATAATCACTGATACGTCACTGTATATATTCCCACAGTGAAAAATTAATAAGACTATTACACCTCATTGAAAAACATTTAAACCTTACAAATAAGTATTAAAAGTATTAAAAAAAACTTCCAAAAAATCATTGTTTTTCAAAACAAAATGAAACAAAATAAACACGTGACACTAAACACATTGAGACACAGAATGAAAACGTCGGCTGATGATGTGGTTTGCGACTCCCTAATCATTCATCCAAGTTTTTCCAGAGATGTGAGATGTGGTGCGTTTCTCTTTGAGGAGGAGGGGTCAATGCAAATCTCTGATCTCTTCCATCTCTACATATGTGCTGCAGAGTGAAGGACAGGGACTAAATCACTGACAGACACAGACAGTACAGTGGACAGAGACTATTAGATTTTACAATGATCAGACCTGATTATTGGGTTGTTTTTTCTCATCCTGTCAATTATCTGGACAGGTAAGAATATTAACTGTATTTCTGATAAACAGCTAAAGACATCTGACAGAATCTGATGAAACATCTGGTTTCATTACAGAATCTAATGAGTTGTTTAAATTTCTGTAGGTACTGAGGGTCAGACTCTGACCGAGTCTGAACCAGTGGTTAAAAGGCCTGGAGAATCCCACAGATTGACCTGCACATATTCTGGGTTTGGTGATAATTACTGGAACGCTTGGATCAGACAGGCTGCTGGAAAAGGACTGGAGTGGGTTGCAACTATCAGTGTTACTAGTAGCAACATCTACTACTCTCAGTCAGTCCAAGGCCGGTTTACCATCTCCAGAGACAACAGCAGAAAGCAGGTGTATCTGCAGATGAACAGTCTGAAGACTGAAGATTCTGCTGTTTATTATTGTGCTCGAGACTCACAGTGACTGGAATCAGTTCAGCAGCTGTACAAAATCCTACAGTCCTCATCTTTATTTTCTGATGGACCTCAACTACCTCATACTGTCTTTGCTTTGACTGTAAGGAAAAAACTCTATGTATTAATTTAGGAGGGAAATACAGAATCAGGGATCAAGGTACAAACTCTGACCAAGAGACAATGATAGCGCTGAAACACTGGTCCTGACACAGAAATCACAGGAAAAGAATAAACCTGTTATATAAACATGTTCTCTCTCTCTCTCTCTCT